TGGCTTACTTTTGAGGGAAATCTGTCCATAATTACCCCACTTTTTTCTGCTTTCTTTGCCTCTCCATCCACTAGCTCATTTCCTTCTTCCAATTCTGAGCTCACTCTCTGGCGTGCCTTGATATGCCTTTTCAGGCAGCTGAACTGCTTCCAGCAGCTGGATTGTCTCTTCTTTTTGTCAGGTTAGCAGTCCCCTCTCTTTCCACATGACTCCATGTGCATGCACAACTCTGAATGCATACATCGAGACTGTATAGATGTTTATTCTCTTTTCTTTTGCCATTTCCAAGGCGTGGGTCAGGGCAATTATCTCGGCCTCCTGCGCAGAGGTGCCTGTTGGTAAGGGTCTGGATTCTACTACTTCTCTGCAGGCAGTCACTGTGTATCCAGCATGTCGCTTTCCACTGGCAACGTGGCTACTACTCCCATCAGTGAACCAGGTCTCTGCATCAGCCAGAGGAGTGTCTTTCAAGTCTGGGCACCTGGAGTAAGTAGCTTCAATGGTCTCCAGGCAATTGTGGTGTACTGCTTCTCCTTGATTTCCATTGAGAAAAGAAGCTGTGTTGACAATATTAGTCATCACTATCTCTACATCATCTTGCACTACCATGACGGCCTGGTATTTCAGAAACTTGTGTGGTGAAAGCCAGAGGCCACCCTTTGCTTCCAGTACTGCGAACGCTGTGTGGGACACTAGCACAGCCATTTTTGTCCCAGGGTAAACTTGCATGCCTCTTGACTATTCAGCACGACTGCTGCTACAGCTCTGAGGCAACCTGGCCATCCTGTGGCTGATGCATCAGGTTGCTTGGAGAGGTAAGCAACTGCCCTCTGATATGGAACCAAGACCTGAGCCAATATTCCCAGGGCAATTCCCTGTCTTTCATGGGAAAACAGAAAGAATGGTTCACTTACATCTGGAAGTCCCAAAGCTGGAGCTGACATGAGGGCACTCTTTAGCTGGTGAAAGGCCCATGTGCCTTCCTTTGTCCACTGGAGATCTCTGTTTCCATTGGCAGTAACAGCATAGAGGAGTCTGACGAGCAGTCCATAATTATAAACCCACAGCCGGCACCACCCGGCCATGCCTAAGAACATTCGGAGTTCCTTTATTGTCTGGGGTTTTGGGGTTTGGCATATGACTCCTTGCGAGCCTGCCCTAACATCCGTTGCCCAGCACTCACCTGGTACCCCAGGTAGATTACTTTCTCTTTCACTGCCTGTGCCTTTTTCTTTGATACTCTGTGTCCTTGAAGTCCTAGGAAATTCAAAAGGCTTACTGTCCAGGCAAGACATGTTTCCCTTGTCCAAGTGGCTACTAGAAGATCATCCACGTACTACAAAAGCCTTCCTTCTTCCTGTGGAGCTTCCCAAAACTCCAGATCGTTTGCAAGTTGCTCCCCAAACAGAGTAGGGGAAATTTTGAAGTGCTGAGGAAGCACGGGCCATGTGAGCTGAGGGTTTTGCACCCACTTTTAGGGCTTTCCCATTCAAATACAAAAATTTTCTGGCTGACTTTGTGGATAGGGAGGCAAAAGAAGGCATCTTTTCAGTCTAAAATGGTGAACCAGGTAAGCTCAGGTGTTAGACAAGTTCATAAAGAATATGGATTGGCTACCACAGGATACGAATCTTCTCTTACTTTATTGACAGCCCTCAAATCCTGTATTATACGGTCTGACCCATCAGATTGCCCAACGGGTAAAATGGGAGTATTGAAATCAGATGGCATTCTTTCAAACACCCTAAACGCAGAAAATTTTCAATTACAGGGCTGATTCCTTCCCTTTCTTGTTTTTTAGGGGGTACTGCCTAATTCTGACTTGTTGTGTCCCTTCCTTAAGCTTAATTACTATGGAGGAGGCATTTTTTGCCATCCCTGTTTACACCAGAGGTCCATACCATGGGAAATACTTGACTTAGTATCTCTTCATTAATTTCCTCCTCAATTTCAATAGCTGTTAAGGTTAAACTTAATACCTCTATGTAGTTTTGATCATTCACCTCCAGAGGACCCTCTTCATTTTTGAATGTAATGGTTACTTCAAAACTGCTTCAATAAATCTCTTCCTAAAAGTGCCTTTGGTGAATTGGGCATATACAAAACTTATGAATACCCCACTGTTTTCCCA